CGGCCTTAGACTCTCCTCCATGTTGCTGACAATTGTAGAGAGTGATTTCTTGCTCCCTCAAAACTCAAAGTCCCCTCTCTCTCTTCGGCCTCCCTTTCTCCAAATCGCTCCCTTCCGAATCCTCAAAACCGAAGCTCCCCCTCAAAGAAAAAGAGGAGGCTCCTCTGCCGTCTCTCGCGGCCTCCTCTCCTTTTAAAACCCTCTGATATCCAGAGTACAAACTGAATCCCCGCTGCTCTCTGATTCTTTCCTCTTCCTTGGTCCGAAGTGGAACACCTTCCTCGTTTGCACTTCAATCTCAGGCTCGAACCGTCACGATGAACGCAAGCCTCTCTCACGACTGCAGCGCTCTGCCATATCTTCTCCCTGCTGGACGTCGTTTTAAGCCGGTCTTGAATGCAACCATTTGTTTTTTATTATGATAAATGATAGAATTATAATAAATGGTATTTAATTTATAAATTTTAAAATAAATTTTTAAATTATTAAATTAGTAATATTTGATGGATATTTTATTTATTTTTTTGTAGTTTTATTTAATTTAATTAATTTTATATATTTTTTAATAATTAAATATTTATTAAATTAATATAATAATATAAATAATTATTATTTATTTTATTAAATATAAAATTTTAATTTAATTGTATATAATAATTATTTATTTAAATATAAATATAATTATATTGATAAATAAATTTTTTTTTTCTTTATATATTATTTTTATATTATTTACTATTATATATAATATATACAAGTAAATTAATAATTTAATTAAAAATACAAATATATAATCTTATTATCTAAATAAAAATATGTTATTAACATATATTAATATAACATCATTTAAATATAAAAAAAAATTTGTCATCACAATACTGTGTTATTGTCACTTAATTACTGTCATTACTATACATTAATTAACCATCACTGAAATTTATCCAAACAAAACCTAAACGATGACATATTGAACCAGATCTGATCGCATTTTATTTTCTTAGGCTGAAGGTATTTCTAATCAAAGGAACTAGGGTTGTCTTGACTAGAATTTTAAAATAAAAAACAAAAGCTTGTGTTTGCTACTTTAATATGCAGTTATCATCTCTAGTTATTATTTTTGTAACATGTATTTAAGTTTTATTATCATAAAAATATTATAAATTAAGAACGAAAATTTCTGATTTGCCCTATTTGATACATCTAAAAAAAATTATAAGTCAGATATAATTCAAAATATGTACTTAGAAATTATGTTTAAGTTAACTTAGTTTTAGTAAGAAAAAATTTACGAGTGCTTTAAAAATTTTTAATTAATTAAAAATTCATAAATTTTTTAATAAAATTGTTTTTTTTAAGAAAAAATTACATATGTTTTAGCATTAATTAACTCTCCTTAATTTTGACGGAGTAAAATATAATAGTTTCCTCAAATTTTAATATTTAAAGTTTTATTTTTTTATTGAATTAAATAAGAGTATTTAGTCAATAATATCTAATTTAAATAATATAATACTTACATTTAGTCAAAAATATCTAATTTCAATTTCTTTTCTTAATAAACTCATTTGAATTTCTATTTTATTTTTTAGTAAGCTTTTTACAAATTTTACCCAATTAGAATTTAAGTTCATGTCTTATTTCTCTTTTAAATTAGGGTTTATCTGTTTCCTTTTAAAACTTTATTCTTTAAATCTCTTTCTTTTCTTCAGCAGTTGATGTGATATTAAGAAAGCTTGAAATCAATCTGAAATGCAAGCCCAGTCGTAAGAATTGGTCATGCCCGCACGTGTCACGCACGATCCCACATGGCACTCGCTTGACCTGTGCATGCAGCCCAAAAATTCTGAAGAAGTCAAGGCGTCACAGCGAGCCCGTATCT